TAAGCTGAGGAAACTGTGTGGTACAGTTCAAATTAATGTTCAGTTTGTAAGGGCTTCACAACAACCATTATTTTGCATTATTGTATAAAAAGTTACCTTCTTCTATATGCACTTATATGAATACATAACTGAAATGTTAAGTTTAGGATATAGCCTATTAATCTAATAACAATGCAAAAAAAAAAAAAAAAAACTTCACAAACACTTTATAGCTTCAAGTTAATATAGAGTGCTACCTATTTTAGAAATCCTGTTAACATTTCACGGTTTAATTTCAGATCGTGAGAACCAGTCTGTCCTGATTACGTGAGTAAATATTCTTCTGCTGACACAACCTGAAGCTTTTCAATTATAATTGTAAATCAGTAAAACTAAATGATGATCTCATATAAATCTCCAGTGGAGAATCTGGTGCAGGAAAGACTGTGAACACAAAACGTGTCATTCAGTACTTTGCAACTGTAGCAATGTCAGGTCCAAAGAAGGCAGAGCCTGGCCCTGGAAAAATGCCGGTTAGTGAATAACTATTCTAGACAATGTTATTGATGACAGTGTTTGTGAATCACCTCATGACTACCCACTGTGCTACAATTACATCTAGGGATCACTGGAGGACCAGTTCTGGTGTCTTTCGATTCCAGTTATTTTACCTGTACAAAAACAGTCCATTATACTGCTTCATACAAATTTTAATTATTATCATATTATTTTAACTTCAGTATAGTAATCATAAATTAACCCCCCAGAACGCAATTTCACCGTACTGCCATACACTAGGGTTTTCTGAAACCCAGCCACTGGGATAGAGAAGGAAAACATAGTAGCCTACAGTGGCAGCTGGGTTTCCAGCCAATGACTGCATTTAATTTGACCTCACTGTAATTCAATTACATTTTAGGTTTGAATAGAGAATACAGGAAGCAAATGTATTCTTTAATAAAAATAAAAATAAAAAAATGACCAGAAGGTCATCAAGATTTTATTGTTTTCAACACATCTAGCAATAAGTGAAGAATGATAAATGAAGCTTGTTATAATGATGAGCAGTTAACTGTGACTGTTGATAAATGAATATTTGAAGCTTATTATAATGATGAGCAGTTAACTGTGACTGTTGATAAATGAATATT